GAGTTATGATGTATGAGAACCGATGTAACGCAATATCGATGTTAACGTGTTGTTATTTTCTTTGCTTAATTCAAATGTAACCAGGATTTAACAAAAACAAAAATGAATATTCGCCGGAGTTATGATGTATGAGAACCGATGTAACGCAATATCAATGTTAACGTGTTGTTATTTTCTTTGCTTATTTCAGATGTAACCAGGTTAAGATCGTAATACGTGCACGCGCGTCGTAAGAAATAACCGCCGAGAGTAAGGGCGGCTGATGGGATGCATGACATAAAAAGGGGGCATTACTTTGTTTGAAAATTCGCCAGTGGCCAAATCGACCCCTGATAATTTTCAAACGGGCGGACTGTTGTGTATGTACCCCCTTTTTATTTTTTTTAATATTATTTTTTTTAAAGAATTATTCTGCCAACATAGATAATATCGTTCTTTTTAAGAGACGCGGCCACGTGGGAACGAACACGCCCCCACACTTCCACAGAGGCCCCCACACTTCCACAGATGCACGCATACCTCATTTCAAAGGAAAGAGGACATGAAAGGGGGGCAATAAGGTAATAAACTCCCCTAAATTCACACAAGAGGAACAAGGGAGGGGGGAATTGCAGGCGGGGGGTTGCAGAACCAGGAGACACGGAGGAAGAGATAATTATATTCTTAACAAAGAAACAGCATCGACGACAAAAAGCACAGATGGGTCTTTGAACCATGTTAAATACACAAGTTACCAACTTAACCATAAAGATTAAGCAAACAGTATCCATCCTCACTCCAATTGAAAACCAGACGACAATCTGAACCAGAATCGCGACCCATCATTGTTAATAAATACTGACATTATTTACCTTTAAAGAATATCTACACGGCCGGGCCGAAGCATCAAAGAATAATTATGGCATCGATTTCGCTCCAAAACAAAATTCCTAGCCGGGATATCAGATCAAATAATCACAAGAAGTCAAATAATAAGTACGGAATTAAAGTAGAAGAGAAATCAAGGGCGGAGAAGGCTCTCAAAATTAACCAAACACAACACCCATGGGAAGCGAGCAACACGGCCGCCTTTGTCTTTCCGAGAGGATCACGACACACAGGCACCAAGCCAGGAAATGACACCCATAAAAGTTGGGGCAAGGGCTCAAAGGAAATTAACACACGCCTTCGAATAAATAAGCATACGCCGGGTGCTCCCACCGTGGAAACAACCGCCTTTGTCTTCCCACAACACGGACAGCAAAAATTGCACAAGCCAGGAAATGACATTTCCATGGGAGATCGGGTCACGATGAAACATCGTGAACACGGTTTCGGCATAACCAAGCAGCAAATAAGTCGCATTTCAACTTCCAAACCAAACCAACTTAAGCTGTGTGAGACAAAGGATGTGATCCCAGAGCAAGGGAGTGAATAGTTAAGCTCGCTTAACGCGTAGGTTTTCGCGACAAATATTATTCAGTAACAAAACATGGATTCGAATGTTTTTTTTAACTCAACGCGAATCATCGGTCTGGCTAATGGATAACTTCTGAAGCAGCCGACAGGAGGCCCCCACCCCCACCCCCTTTCTTCCAGAACGACACACACAGCTGTGTCTTCAAAGCTAATAAACACACGGACAAACACGCACGCGAAACACACGGACAAACACGCACGCGAAACACACGGACGGACACACACACGGACGCAGATGGTCCACCCCCACAGGAAAGTTTTATGACACAGCCTTTGAACAACTCGGGAAGCCGAGTGGAATTTTGCGATATAAACCGAAGGAAAATCCATACAACTCAGTTCGTCAGGGGCTCTGGCCCCCATCACAGAGATATCATCTGGGCTACGAGCCCATCTTCGGCTCCACCACAGATCTTCACGAGCTCCGGCCTACATCTCATCTCGTCTCCGGGCTAAGGCCCCACCAGAGTTCTCCAGGGCGACAACCATCTCTCCTCGTCGCCGCCAACGAAGAAGCTCCTGTCATTCAGAATGACGAGGGTCGCGGAGTAGCGACGCGTAGCTACAAGCCGAGGTCTGCACCACCTGAGAAGAATCGCTACCCTGAGTCGCAGAGCTGCGAGTGAAGCCAACAAAGACGCCAACGTCCACCCTGCCACGAACGAAGCATCGCTCCTCGTCAGAGTGACGACCAGCGAACAACCCGCAGGAAAGGCGGAGATCGCTGAACGAGCGCCAACTTGCGCCACCTTGCGCCACCGTGCGCCACCGTGCACCACTTTGCGCTGAACGTGCGCCACCGTGCGCCACCGTGCGACACCGAGCGACAACGAGCGACACCCAGATCGACCAGCATCAACCCAAACCGACTCGTCATCCCGCCGTGGAGAAAAAGAGTCAAAGTCTTCTGAACGAGCGCCGCCGCTCACCTCACAGCGGAGAAAGTCTCAGCTGCCGCTCGCACAAACAACAGAGGTCGTATCGCTCCCCACATACAGACTCAAGAAAACACAGAGAAAATCTTGTCAAACCAGTTTCCTTTGTCCCAGAATCTCGCCGAAGAATTAATTAAAACAGAGCCAGATTCGCTCTCGCGCCCACACGCCCTCACCCACCATTGTATCAAACATTCCGTTAAGAGGATTTTTATACTTGCCGATGAATCTATTGACATATACTTTCGCCTCTTGGGTATAATAAGTGCTATATTACCGCCATAGGAAGTGTGTCATGCTTGTTTTCAAACTCGACCAGTCGCCGATTGTGATCGATACATGGGCGAACTAATGAGATGCTGGGTAGGAAAAGTAGAGGTTACAATTGATAGAAGTGTTTTTAGTCATTCAGTTCGTTAAATGCATAAGTGTTTATTCATTCATTTTAGTCAAATGCATAAGAGTTTCGTTATTCATATTGCATAATTGCATAATTTCACAAATGCGTAAGTGTTTATTCATTCATTTTAGTCAAATGCATAAGAGTTTTCGTTATTCATATTGCATAATTGCATAATGTCACAGCTGCATAAGTTTTTGTCGTTCATATTAGTTAATTGCATAATCTTGCCCATGAATTATTGACGCATGTTTGACCTGCATGATAGAATGTCACGTGTTTGTTAGAATAAAATTGTTATCACAGAAGCATATTGAGTGTTCTTTCCAAGTCCATGCAAAACCATCTTATTCATAAGAGCTGTATCCTGCGATGAGATATGAAAATGGAGACCTAAAATAGTATAACACACACTAGGATAATCGGTAAATGAATCTATGATAATCGCGTTATCCTGATTGATAACTCTGGATAAACGAAACTAAGCAAATTATCATAACTGCACACATTAACATAATCGCAAGCCTCCGCATAAATTACTACGATTATCTCCGTGATTATCATAATTTATGCATATAATCACATGTATTATCATAATTTATGCATGTTAATACATACACTATCATAATTAATGCGATTTGCGCATTTTTCGGAAAATTATTAATTTTTATTATTTTAATCAAAATTTCATAACCCGACAAATACAACAGCTGGATGGCAAACAACTTGTTCACAAAACAAGACATTGTTAAAATGATTTAAATCTCATTTTGGATTAGCAGGGTATATCTTTGAAAAAACACATCAGAGTAAAATCTCTATTCTTTAATCGGTTACTAAAATATTAAAAAATATTAAAATGACAAACTACTATCTAAAAAGTGACAATCTACTGTAGACAGGAGAAAAGCAGACGGTAAAGTCTGGTTTTCAAAAGGCTTACTCCATCACCACTGCAGTAACCTCTATAAAGGCCGATACTGCTGCGTGATATTTCTCAACCTATCAAAAGCCTTTGATACTGTTGACTATGATATTCTATTCACAAGACTTTGTCAAATCAAATTTTCAGACGGACTTTTCTCAAAAATTACATAGTGATAACATATCTGACAAAAATATTCAAATAACAAAGGGTGTTCCACAAGATTCCGTGCTGGGTAAAATTATGTTCTGATATTTAAACAATCTTGAACTAAACTTGAATCCCTCGAAATTAAATCTCTTTGTTGATGACAATATCATGCTTGCATCAGGTAAATCTCTAAACGAAGTCAAACAGAATCTACAACATGATTTGGACTTAATTCAATTGTCATTACTAAAATTGCTAATAAATCGGAAAATAATTAAATTCATGCTCTTTCTTCAAACAGGCAAGTTTAATTATGTTCACCTATTACGGATATCAGAAACAACATCATTGAATAAAAGGAGTGCTTCAAAGACTTGGGTCTATTTATTGATTCAAAACTTACATTACAACCCCATATTGATCACATCTGAAAGAAAATCTAAAATAGGATTTTTATACTCATTGGTTCTTTCGGTAAAGTCACGTAGGTAGAAATAAAATAAAACAAATCACGACGTTTCTATCGCAACAGGATTTTTATATAGAAACAAGCATATATTTTCCCATTCGATTGCACCTGCAAATTATTGAAGCTATAATTCTAACACTTTTTGAGTACTGTGATGCTGCTTACAGATCAGCTAATAATGAAACGCCAAACAGACTAAACCCGCTTCATCATTCTGCTCTTCTATTTGCAATGGATGTGTAATGACAGTAGAGTCAACCTGCGGTGTGACCCTATTGTCATACCCAATAAGTCCATCAAATTGCCTTTTAACTGTCCCTATAACAAGAATTGGAATAGGTGACAAAGCCTTTGCAGTTGCAGCAGCAACTATTTTGTAATAACCTTATTTCGTCCTTAACATCATAAATCTTCCTTCAAAAAGCAGAAGATTGGTGCTGGATACAAGAACATTGGAAAATGTGATTTGTAACTTTTATCCTTACCCATGTATTGATAGTTCAATTGTAATGTGCACTTTCATTGAGGGGCTGTGTTGTCTTGGTTTGGTCTGGGACTGTTTTTGTTTTACTAGCTTGCCCAACACTGCATTTGGTGTTGAAAAATCGCCACAAATTGATGTACTTATGCAAGGTGTACTTAGATTTTTTGAAATGTACTTACTTATCTTTCATATACGTTGCACTCCTATCGGTGTTTGTTGTTGTAATTTCTGACCCGCCCCTACTGGAAATCTGTACAGACGGATCATAGGATTATTCTTTGGTTCTTTCGGTTAAGTCACGTCTAAAGATAAATAAATTAAAATAAAAGCATATTACGACGTTTCGATTGCAACACAAGCAATCATCATCAGGCAAAAAAAGAGATAGCAACAAAAAATCTAACTAGAAAACTATAGACAGACATACAAGCAGACAGACATCACACGGACACACAGAGAGAGGACACATATCGGCACAAAGAGAGGGGTCGTTTCTGTGACGGTCCCTTAAATATAGAGAGGGGGGCAGGGACGGAGAGAGGGAGGGGGCAGAGAAAATTAGCATATCAATGAGTGGCAAAGTGCTGCTGCTACTCTAGTAAGATGACGACGTGGCACGGCACGCAAGCTTGTAAATTAGGAGAAAGGCACACTAAAATTAAATAACCTCGCAAAATATCGAAATGTGATGTAATACAACACAGAGAGTCGGTCAACACACAATTAACGCATAGCCTGGTTGATTACGTATCTCAAAGATTGCTAAGTTAGAGTTTAAGTGTGAAACTTCCAAAGAGAGGACACAAGGAGAGAGAACAAATAGCCAGAGAGAGAAAAAAGAAAATCTTAAAACTTCCCCGTAGAAGTGGTTCAATCTTAATTATGGAGCTTTCGTGACTGCAGGAATTATTCTTTGGTTCTTTCGGTTAAGTCACGTCTAAAGATAAAATAATAAATTAAAATAAAAGCATATTACGACGTTTCGATTGCAATATCTTTGAGATACGTAATCAACCAGGCTATGCGTTAATTGTGTGTTGACCGACTCTGTGTTCTATTACATCACATTTCGATATTTTGCGAGGTTATTTAATTTTAGTGTGCCTTTCTCCTAATTTACAAGCTTGCGTGCCGTGCCACGTCGTCATCTTACTAGAGTAGCAGCAGCACTTTGCCACTCATTGATATGCTAATTTTCTCTGCCCCCTCCCTCTCTCCGTCCCTGCCCCCCTCTCTATATTTAAGGGACCGTCACAGAAACGACCCCTCTCTTTGTGCCGATATGTGTCCTCTCTCTGTGTGTCCGTGTGATGTCTGTCTGCTTGTATGTCTGTCTATAGTTTTCTAGTTAGATTTTTTGTTGCTATCTCTTTTTTTGCCTGATGATGATTGCTTGTGTTGCAATCGAAACGTCGTAATATGCTTTTATTTTAATTTATTATTTTATCTTTAGACGTGACTTAACCGAAAGAACCAAAGAATAATTCCTGCAGTCACGAAAGCTCCATAATCAAGATTGGATCATAGGATTCTTCAAGTCTAAATAAAAATTCTGATTCTGAAAGTTATCAGTCAATCTGCCTCCTTTCCCAGTGCAAGGGCAGGTTCTACCCACGTGCTGTTCAGCAGGTTGAACCCAAGGCTGTACAAATCACTAATCACAGCATTTAGGGTACACTCTCATCAAATGTTGCAGCCACTCACATTTTTAAGACGATAAGAGTCGCCTAGATCTGGCCGTTCAGCCTGGTTCTGAGAAAGTGGGTCAGTGAGAGAGTGGGTGAGCGAGTGGGTGTGTGAGAAAATGAGTGGGTGGGTGATTGAGTGGGTTGGTGCGTGAGTCAGTAGGTAAATTTGCTGTTTAGACTATTTCTGAGCTAGTAGGTGAGTGAGTGGGTGAGCAAGTGGGTGGTTGAGAGTGGGTGGGTGAGAGAGTGGGTGACCGAGTGGGTAAGCGAGTGGTTGAGTGGGTGAGCAGGTAGGTGGTTGAGTGGGTGAAAAATTGAGTGGGTCAGCGAGTGGGTGGGGGAGTGGATAACTTGACCTCCCCCCCATCATCTAGTTGCAGCCGTTTAGCCTGCAGGATCTGTGCATTTCGTGCTTTGCATACACGACAAGCAATCAGAATATTATTCATACTGGAAGAACCCGATGAGCTATAAGGTTCTTTTCACAGATGCCCAGTCGGGATGGGTCAGAAAGTTACGACAATACAGAAACACGATACGAGTGCTATTAGCGTTTTTCTCAGAAGCAATCGGGCGACAACTGATAGCTCAATAAAGGGGCCTATCCTGTGTAAATCGATAGCAGCCAAAATAATCTGAACGCATCATGGGACCTCCTTTGCCAGTACCAAAATATGATAATAGGGTTTTCCCCTTTTTTCAAGCAACAAAACAGGTGTTAAGAGTTGTTAAAACACCAAACTGAAACCTTTTACAAGGAATCATGTCTGCATTAACCACAATACTTGTGGTCAGAATACAAAAAAAACATACATATTCTGATAATATATGCATTGTCTTTGAAACGGATTGGTCCACACCAGAGACAGCTTTCTTTTGAGCCTCGTCTCAAACGACACCAAAATGCGTACAGCACAAAGACAATGCAATATCAGAGTAATGGGAGCTCGGGGCGAGCATCTACATCATGGGACCTCCTTTGCCAATACCAATATATGACAATAGGTTTTCCCCCAATTTTTTTTTGCATTCTGACCACAAGTATTGTGGTTAATGCAAACATGATTCTTTGTAAAAGGTTTCAGTTTGGTGTTTTCATTTAACACCTGTTTTGTTGCCAGAAAAAAGACGAAAACCTATTCTCTGAACGCACGTTTCTAAATGTGGTGGGGAAAAACCGTACAAAAAATCCAGGCAACTACGAGAACATGGAAACTCCAAATATACAGCATACATCAAGCTCGGGCGCGAACCCACGACCTCCTCCATACCAGACGAGGAAGATAACATCACGCCAACGTGGCGCCTCTTTAATAAACAGATGTTCAAATTGCAAACGCAGTGGATGGATCTACGGATAAAATGTGCCACTTCACAAACGTACATTATTTTATTATTAATATTGCAGCTTTATTAATCACACCAACATGTATCATATGCTGTAAAGTGGATGTTAAAGATCGCTTTGAAATTTATATTTGACGATCTTCGCCCCCTTTGCTGTACAACGTTGACATTTGCTTTTAGAAAACCTGTAATTGTGTGGAATGCTTTGGTGTTGTCTGTCCTTGAAAAAATGCTTCTTAGCTCAATGGACTAAACTCGGGAAATAAACGTTTGAATCTTATTCTGAAAGTATATTGTCCACACGTTCCAATGCTGAAAAACTAGCCGAAAGTGACTCAATCGGAAATACGCGCAAAAGCATCGCACCCACGACTGCAAAAAAAAGACTTGTCAGAAGACACAACTCGAGTATCGAGACTCGGTGAGGTAGTCAGCCAAGTTAAGACAATTAAACAATTCAAGCAAATCAGTCAGGCAAGGGCAGGAGGCAAGCCCTGCATGGCTAGGCCCCACATCGTATTGTTGCAATGTCACAACCTGGACATCGATCCATAGCTGCTACTCAATTGATGCCCCTACGAGAGAAAGAACAAACCAAGCTTTACCTGGGTAAACAACAACCATAACAACCACGATGTCAACAACTCACCTCGGATCAAACCGAGTAACGAGCAAAGCGCTGCGGCTCCTGGAGTTTCGTGACGTCACGCAGAAACACGTGTCGGTGATTACATGACGTCACTGGTGAAGGACACCCTCTTACCGCATAAATTATTTTAATGATTTTACGTCATGTATGGGCGTGGCTTTGCTCACAGGAATTAGCCAGTAATCGGAATCGGCAGTGGGCAAGCTGACATGACGTCACGCACCGATGGCGTCACGCTGAGTGGGGACGTCAGAGAGCGAGGAGAAATATGCTGTGTTGTGTTTTTCGAGTCGTAGTTTATTTCGATTTCTTTCGCATTTCTCCTTTTATTTTACAGAGTTCCGTTGGGTTCGTGAGCTCAGCAGCAACAAAAACATGAATATTGTAATAAACAAGCACAATGCAAGGTCCTTAAGGGATATTGCGTGTACACTGCCTAAACTGTGTGTGGTATGTGTGCGCCTGTGGGTAAGTGTATCTGTGTGGGAGCGGTAGTGTAGCATTTAGTGTGATGCGCTACGAACCCAGCCACCTGAGTTCGATTATAGCTCACGGCCATCACCAGTGGCGATTATCTAACCAGGTCCTGGTACTCTACTTGGTCGATTGAGCCTTAAATACGTTCCTGGTGCGATGTGTAAACATCGCTACGAGGGAGACAAAGGCGTCCGGGCGTGGCCACCTCGTGTGCTGTGCCACCCTTCATAGGTGCTCACAGACAGCACTTGCCCAACAGTCTTTTACAGGCTATATGGGGGATCTTTGTCTTGTGTGTGTCACATGCTGATTTTGGTTTTGATTCATCGTCCTATTGGACCTGGCAGTCATCCGAAAAAAATATCCAATGTGCTGAAATATGAGGCTCCAAAGAGTGCATTTATATATTCGTCAATTCTGGGGAGAGGGTAGGTAAATTAAATTGTATTTAACCTTCATATAATCTACGCAAAATCGAGCGCTGCCATCTTTCTTTTTATCAAACACTACTAATGGACCCCGAGGGCTGGATGACGGTGAAACCACATCGGCCTTCAACATATCATTTACACATTGTTGGATTTTGTTTTAATCTGGTACACTTGTAGGGAAAACATTCTGCCTTAAAGAGCAGTGACACACCTGTTGAGATATGATGCTGGGCTAAATTGGTGCTCCCTAAATAAATAATCTCGTGATTTACTAAATATACCATAGTCAAAACTTTATTTGTCCAAATTTTCCTTCTAAATATCTGAAAAGAATTATGCTCTGATATTAAATTATTTTCTTCACGAGGTCGATACCGACTAGTTTCCAATAAACTGTAATGGAATTGTAATTTACATCCGATTTACTATCTGTATTTTTCAACCATGCTACTTGTAGGGCACGACGTCCACCCCACCGCCCTCGCTAGGCAGGTGCGGCGCGACGTCTGGCCGTTCCGCTCCTCCTCCACCGCGTCGGTTGGCTCCCGCCAGCCCCCCGCACTCACGCCCACTCTGAGGGACATACTCGTGCTCCTGGCTTTGGAGCCACACGGAGTTAGACCACACGCCCCGTGCACACCCAGCTATCGCTAACACAGGGGGGCACGAACGCTCTCACACCTGCGAGCGATTACCTCTTAACGCACGCGCACGCCGCGGCCCCACGCAGTCGCTCTACACAGAAATCACTGACACCACACCTATGCTCTGTGATAACTTTTATTCTCGGCGCAAATCACGCAATACCCGGGGGAAATATTTTGCGAGAAGAGCCTAGCCTACTGCTGCCTAAGTCCCCAGTCACTAAAACGCCCTACCACGTACCTCGTAGCTGTACTCACGGCGTCACACGGACGCTGCGGACGGCTCGAGAAGGCAGGACAGCAGGGGGGGGGGGGGGAGTCTTGGCAGCCAAGATGTTGAATATGTCTTTCGAATGGCCTCAGGCTCCCCTTTTATCCCCCTGACTTCAAAAGCCCGGGGTCGTGTTGTACTGCGCGGCCAATCGTGCGCCTACCTGTGATTACAGCCCGTTTTCCCCCCTTTTTGCCCTTACATGTAGGGGTTATTACGGGAGAAACGGCGGACAACAAACACAGGGCTGTCGGCACTCACATACACGGGGGGTCACACCGACGTCCGCATCAGTTATTGCCCATGCCCCCAGCCCTCGGAGGCGATCCCTATAAAAGGTGGAACCCAAAGAGCTCGAGTTCAGTTCGACACGAAGCTGACCAGTGAAGATCCAAGACTCGGAGATTAGGCCCTGGGACTCCCCGGTCTCGCCGTCCTTATAAGGGCCGAGCCGGGTAAGCCAGTGGCGCGGCCCAAGAGCTTCCAGACCGCTGCCCTTATCAGGGCAAGGCTGGTTAGCTGGTGCCGAGATCTGTGCTTGCCAGGGCCAGATCAGTCAGCCTCCCGTAGCCCAGTAGAGGAGGACTGGGGGACAGGACAGAGGGCTTAGTACTAGGGTGGGTTTCCCATAGTACGGGTGAAGGGGCCGATACCCCTTCAACTATTGTATCTGTCCCGGAGTTAATAAACAGTGTGTCTCAACTTCGACATCGTCTCCTCCTCTACTTACTACATCTGGTGTTGGAAGTGGTCCAAGCATGGATACGAGACGGAAGACTCGTGCCCAAGACCCAGGAGAGGATGACGACGAGGGAGGGGCAGTGCAAGACATCGCCGCCGACGTACCTGCACAACAGCTGCCGGCTCCGACATCGGCAGGGTCGTCGAAGAGGGCCGGGACGTCGACTGACGAGTTGGCGTTGGCTCACTCGCGGCTGGCGGAGCTCTTGTATGCAGCGGCCGCTATGCTGGAACAAATAACTCGCCTGGGGCCGGGAGGAGCGACGTGGCGGGAAGATGGACAACGCCCGCCAGAAACTCCCGCCTTTACAACAGCGGGGCGACTCGAAATTCCCGCCACGAAGACAGTAGGGGCGGAGGGAGGAGTCCCAGCTCGTCACGCGGGGGACGGTGCCCAGCCAGCAGCCGCCACGTCATCGGCGGAGGCGGGTCGCGGTGGCGGCCTATCAGGGGTTGCAACGTCACCACCAGCGGACGCCAGCACCGACCAAGCCCCGACCAACACGTCACTGACGGCGCGACACCCATTAGAGTCCGCCATTACTCATACAGTACGGGGACGCGCTACGGATGCTGCAAGAGGATCGGAGACGGAGCCGACATTCCAGCAACGCCTGCCGGCCCTGCAGGTATTTGTTGCAAGCGACGGCGATTGGGGGGGGTTCCAGCGCCGGTTCTTGGCCCACCAAGAGATGGCAGGCTGGTCGGACAACGAGGCGCTGTGTGCTCTCCCGGCGTTACTGGACGGCGACGCCCTGGGCACCCTCACTGCTGCACCCAAGTCGGCTCGCTCCACCATTCAGTCGGCGCTGCAGCTGCTGGCCACCGTTTATGGGCCGCCCTCCGATTGTCGCCAGCTCTTCTATGAACGGCAGAAGGGTGACAAGGAATCGCCACTCGCTTATCGCACGGCCCTGCTGTCATTGGCGAAGGACGCTTTCCCGCGTATGGATGAAGAGGGGATCGATGCGATGGTGGCCGAGAAAATTTTGCTGCTGGCTGACGATTTGGACTTCACCATCTTAGCGCAGGACGATGCGGATATGTCATCACTGCGGGCTGCAAGGCACATTCACGCCAATCTCATCTCCCAGCGGAGGAAGGCGAACAAAGCAGCTGCACGACACACCGTGGCGGCGACCTCTTCCGGAATGGAGGGAGCCTTCGCTGCGGATCGTTCTGCAGGATGGCGATCTGCCGAGCGACCGGCTCGGGACGTTCCAAGCCACCGAGACCAGCCCAAGTCCTCTGGAACGCTCGTCGTCTGCTATAATTGTGGCCTCCGGGGCCACGTGGCGTCCGGATGCCGGGCTCCTCGACAGCGCGGTGCGAGACCTGGAGCTGCGGACGGCCCTCCTCACAAGCCTTCGCAACATCCTCGGGCAAGTCATGGCACCCCACATGTTCGGCCTGCACACACACCCACTTTCCTATCACAAGGTCCGACACACGATTCTCGGGGTTTGGGTGCTGGTGCGTCGGGTCGCGGCATGTCGGGGAGGGCGCTCCAACCGGGCCAATGGTCCGAGTTGGCTCACCGAGTTGTGGCTGCATCGGCGGGGTCGTCCGTTGTCGCGGGGCATATTGACGGGGTGGAGGTACGGCTATTGGTCGATACGGGAGCTTCGGCAGAGTCGCCCGTTGCTCCCTGTCGATATACCATTTTACGCTGCGAATGGGGGCTCGTTGGGTATTATCGGTCAAATTCGAGCGCAAATTTCGATAGGGGACATTAAACTATCTGGCCCGGTGTTCGTCTCCTCCTCGCTGGCTATTCCGTGCCTGTTGGGGACAGACTTTTTGGCCAAATTGCCCATCAAAATTCTGATTGACCAGCAATGCATCGAGCTTCCATCGGGCCGACGTATGACGTTCCTACCTGCCACCCCTGCCTTGCGTGTTGCCTGTGCTACGGTACAGGCGCTTGTTGCCCGGACGGTGCATGTACCCCCGGGGGCACAGATGTTGGTACCCCTGCGCTTGCGTCGACCGTTCGATAAAGGGGTCTCTGACCGGGGCGTTATTTTGGGACCATCTAGAGCCGGGGTGAGTGGGCCAGATCTGGTGACGGCCCAGACTATTGTTAAAGGGGATGGGGACCCGTTTATCGCGGTCCTCAATGTCGGGACACGGACGGCAGTGGTTTCGCAAGGTACCGTGTTCGCACATGCGGTTCCGGTACCTGCGGAAACGCCGATCATTGGCCAGGTGGCCACCGATTCTCAAACGCGATTAGCCTCAGACGCTGACGAGGGTTGGCTGGATGCGTTGTGTGCTGAGTCACCTGACCTGTCCGACGCACAACGTGCTAGATTACGCGCCTTATTGCGAGAATTTTCCGACGTCTTCAGTAAACACAAATACGATATCGGATGTACCAAATTGCTACGCCACCATATTGACACCGGTGACAACGCTCCTATCCGCCAAAATCCTTTTCGGTTAAGTCCCGCCGAAAAGGATCATGTCAAATCGGCTGTAGATGACATGTTGAAATCGGACATCATTTCTCCCTCGACCAG